TCACTCCAATGGTACAAATAGGTGAATCTTTATGAGTTCTAGGCAGTCAGGGCTACGTAGTGAGAGCTTGTCTCAAAAACAGAGGAGATAGGTAATTGTACCCTGATGTAAACATTGCACAATGGATAGATGTATTGAAACACTACCTGTTGAACTGTTAATCTGTATAATTTTTATGTTTTCATGTATCAGTTGAAATAAATTTTATTTAAAAAATAATTCATTCAGGAGTAGGGAGATGGCTTGGTGGGTAAAAGTGTTTGTTGTATAAGCAAGAGGACCTGAGTTCAAACCTCTAACATCATGTGCCTATAACCCCAGTCCCTGGGGTGGGGGGCAGCCAGGCAAATCCTAGGAGCTTTCTGACCAGTCAGCCTAGCTGAAACAGTAAGTTTCAGGTTCAGTGAGAGACTTTGTCTCAAAAACTAGGGTGGAAATGTCCTCCTCTTGCCTCCACATGAGTACACAAGCACACACACGCACACATACACATACACAGACACACACACACACACACACACACACACACACACCACGAATAATTGATTCCAACAAAAGCAATAAAATAAGACGTTTGTATGTTTAAAATAAAGACAAAGGCCTGGTGTGGTGGCGCATGCCTTTAATCCCAGCACTCGGGAGGCAGAGGCAGGCGGATCTCTGTAAGTTCAAGGCTGTCCTGGTCTACATAGTAAGTTCCAGGACAGCTGGGGCTACAGGGAGACCCTGTCTCAAAAAGATAAATAAATAATAAGTAAATAAATATATAAATAAATAAATAAATAAGGAAAAGAAAGAAAGAAAGATGGAAGAAAGACAAAGGAAGGAAGTAGGAGGAGGAGAGGAGAAGGGAGGGGAGAGACTCTTGGGCACAGCCTGCTACAGAAGCCCGGGGTCAGCACAACCTTTGTCCACTGGAGAAGTGAACACTAAACTGCTTTTGCCCTGCCCTGCTGTCCTGAGTGGAGTCAGCATTACTTGTTGCTCCATGACCGTTGACTCTCGCCCTGGTGGTTCTGGCAAAGCTGCCGTGGAAAGAGCTGTATTCAGCACTGGTGCTCCACATGGCACTAAGAATAGAGAAATGAAACTTGGATTTAAAGGTATTTTTAAAACTTGGAAAGGCCTGAAAGATCACCCAATCCAAACTGCTCATTTTAGGCATAATTAGAGACCAGAGAGGTAAAAGGGCAGCTCAGAGTTGCACAGCAAGGCGATGACTGAGCCAGGACTATGGGCCCCATTACTACACCCCACCAGCTGTTGACAGTCCTATGGAAGAACGAATGCACACACTGGTCAGACTCAAAGCAGCTCTCCCAGCCAGCCTGACTCAGCCTGTCCTGGGTCCCCACATTAAATCTCATCCCAGGTCTGCTCGGTGGTGCCACCCACTGCCTCCCCTGCAGCCCCCCTAGTTCTGCTTTCTGTCCTATTCCTGCATCTGTCCCCACATCACAGCTGCCCCAACTCTTTTCTTTCCCTCCTTAAAAGTCAGGCCACGTTCAGTCTTCCCTACCGCTAGAGACCTGCCCAACACCAGCTTAATGAGGGTAGAGATGATCAGGGTCAGTCAGTCCAGAGCCCCGCCTCCAGCGCAGGATTAGGCTGAGGATCCTAACTCACTAATATAGGCAGGCATTGTTTTTCTCCTTGTTTTACGGGTGAGGAAACTAGGTCTTGGACAGTATTAAATCATTGGTTCAAAGCTGAGCAACTGATCCAGGGCAGAATCAGGATTTGAACCAGACAGCTTGATTCTAAAACCTCCACTTGCACACTTGCGCCATTCCATGGCCTCTACCACATGACACTTTCTTTTTATGCCTGGCTTTGTGTACCAAGATGTTTAGGTTGGGTTATTCTTGCTTCTCCTGATCTTTTCTTCATGCACAGAGGAGGGATGGTTGGCTGGGATGAGTCCAGCTGCACAACCCAACACAGAAAACCTGACTCTAATCCAGCTCCCACACTCCTAGCTATGTGGCCTTAGGCAGGTCTTTGTAACCTCTCTTAGAACTAGTTCCTCAGCTGTAAAACCAAGGAGATAATGGCACACACTCAGTGCTTTAGTACAGATAGAAGTGTATACACTCGGTCTAGCACCCAGTACCTAGGAACAGAGTACCAGTGAACAGAGTCCATTATTATCATCCCAGTTCTCATTTGTTCCATTCATTTACTTGTTCTTACTTCCACTAGTGTGTGAAATACACAAGCAAAATGCCATTGAAACACAGATTAAATAAGCCTCACTTTTCTGTACAGAAACATGAAATAGCTTAAGCACAGCACAATGCAGAGTGAAATGGACCAAAAATCAAAACATCCACAGCATACATGAGGGCCCGGAGGCAAGGACACTGATAATGATGAGGTCCTGAGGAAACATTCGTGGGGCAGAAGGGTAAGGGTTTCTAATGGGGAAGGGCAACGGGCTGGGGACCAGCATGAGCAGAGCTGAAAGCTACCCAAAGGAGGGAGCTATCTGGGATTACTGGAAGTGGGCAGGAAAGACCAGAGAAGACAAGCTGCTGGAGAGGCAGGCACGGAGGCATAGGAATGTAGACTCAGAGCCTCAATTATACTCCATAAGGAGCCTCTGATGGTTACTGAGAAACAGGACAACATGGTCAACCTTTGCTTTAGGAAAATAACAGTAGAACAGTTATGTGAGCTGGAGGAGGAAGATAATGGAGAAGGAAGCTGGTTAACGGTTAGGGAAAGTCCAGCTTGATTCAGTGGGAAAGGGTTCTGCAAGTCCAGTTTACTAAGGAAGAGCAAGGGTTTCCAGAGGCACGATCTAAAGATTTCTGTGGAAATTGTTGAAATCAAAACATCTTGCAATCAGAAGCACTGATTTTCGGCTCTCCCCAGACTTAAGGGACTAGAAATTCCTTTCCCCAGGGTGCTCAGAAACTGTATTGGGAACAGGAGCTACTCTCCTAATTTCTTGGGAAAACCCAAATGAGCAAAATATACTATACTAACTGCCACTTAACCCAAAGAATAACTTACTGTGGATTATTTTCTGTTTCTGTCAAAGTGCAGTCCATACTTGGATAGTACAGCAAGGTCTGCCTTAAGCACCTGCCATGTTTTCCCAAGAGAGGATTTCTGTACCATTGCTTGATTCATGGCTGCTCTGATCATAGGGCCTCCTTCCTGGTCTTTCACCTCTACAATCCCTTTGCTAGTTCTCTCTGAGACCCACCCAGACCTAGAGTAGGTGGGCTGCTGGGGTGTGGGGTAGTTGTGGCCAGTGCAGTGGAGGGGACCAGGACCATGGTATTGCCATATGGGCCCGTGTCTGGTTGACTTCCTGCACAGCAGAGTTTCTTTGACCTCTCAGGTCACTTTATTTAATGAGGTAGATGCTAGGTTTGCCTAAATGCAAACATATGATTTGGAGGAGAAATATTCTCCTCGGCTGTCACAAATCAGGGCTGTTTGATTCTTCAGGTTCATAAGCTGATATGCACTGAGGCACAGCTCTGGGCTCAGAGTGTGAGCTTTGAAGTCACCTATGGGGTTCAGTTATTGTCTGCTGTTTGCTCTCTGATTGAGGAAGCATGACCTACCTGCTTTCAGCTTCAGTTACCTCCAAGGTTTTGAGAAGGCTAAATGATGGCCAGACTTTAATTATAATGCCAGCTTGTAATGTTGTATGGGATAAACCTTTTTTTTTTTTTTGAGACAAGGTCTCCCTGAAGCCCCAGCTGACCTGAAACTTTCAATATATAGGCTAGCCTCAGTCTCACAGAGATCCACCTGCCTTTGCCCCCCCAAGTGCTGGGATCAAAGACGTGTACTACCATACCCAGATAATAAAACTTTTTATTCTGAAAAAAAAAAAAAAGGAAAGCTAAAAGCCAGAGCAAATCACAGAAGTTATCCCCTTATTTTACAGATCTGGAAAGAGGCCCAAGGTACTAGGTGTCTCATTACATTCTCCAGCTAGTTAGGAAGAACGTCCAAGATGAGAACTTAGATCAGTCTGACTCCTGCCCAATGCTTTTCTACCACTCACTAACCCCTCAAGTGAGGAGATGTCTCACTTGGTAAAGTGTTTGTTTTGCAAGCACTAGCACCTGAGTTCAATCCCAGGTGGTGGCACATGCTTGTAATCCCACTGCTGGGAAGGTAGAGACAGGCAGGTCCCTGGAACTCCCTGACCAGCTAGCCTAGACTACTTGGTGAGCTCCATGCAAGTGAAAAACCCATTCTCAATAAACAAGGTGAATGAAATCTGAAGAACAATACCCAAGGTTGACCGCTGTGCTTCACATGCAGGTGCACCACAAACATGTGGAAACACACACACACACACACACACACACACACAAACACATGAGCGCTCACACATGGACATACGTTCACACACAAATATAATAAGCCGCATGGTATTAATCACAAGTCTCCACTGCATTACTGCAACATCTCAGGAATGTCCCTTGGCAATGTCCCTCGGGCCTGTGCCTGGCAGGCCTAGGTAGAAGTCGCCATTGCTCTGTCCCTGAGGGGCTTTTCTTCATGTTTTGAGAATTAACCTTTTTCATAACTTTTATTTTTAAAATATTTTATTATTTTGATTTTATGTATATGAATGTAATGCCTGCATGTAGGTAGGTGCACCCGTGTCTCACAATGCCGTGGAGGTCAGAAGAGGGTGTCGGATCCCCTGGAACTAGAGTGATAGACGATTGTCAGCTACCATGTGGGTGCTGGGAATCAAACCCCAGCCCTCTGCAAGAGTAGCCAGTGCTCTTAAACACTGAGCCATCTCTCCAGCCTGAATTAGCCTTTTAAAAAAAGAGAATCAAAAGTGAATGAACATATGGCTGTAATAACTCTTCAAGGTCAAGTAAAGGCACCAGGAAGCACATGGAAGGCCAGGCAGCATAGGTACCTGCAGGCAGGTAGTGCAGGGTAGCTTGGGGACCCCCTGGAGCTGTCCAGCTGGACTCATGTGTGGTGTCTTTGTTCCTCTCCCTCTTCAGAGAGCCCTGCTGAAGAAGAGGAGCAGTGGTCAGATGACTTTGTGAGTACTGGCTCCTGGGATTGGGAGGATGCCAGGGTCCCATGGGAGGCTTCTTAAAGGGCTTGTTTCTGAACAACATGCTGGTGGCTGCACATCACAGGTAGAGGGAGGGGGAAGGACTGAAAAGCCTCCTCCAGGCGGGTGGCAGTGACCTCATTGATGGCTCACATCACCCAGTGCTCACCACATGCAAGGCTGAGAGCTTTACATACATAAACTCATTTCACTGCCACCACAGCCCTCAGAGACAACTATTCAAGCCCCACCCTCAGTGCTGATACACACACTCCAGCACACAAAGCCAGAGGTGGACGTTTAGCCAGTTCTGTATCAGTAGGAAACATTTCCACCCTAAGCGCCGCACTACTCCCTCACTTCTTGACCCCTAGCAGGAGACCCAACAAACCAACAGCTAGGACGTTAATTAATGGCAGAGCCTTTATAGTGGCACAAACTTATAAGCTCAGCACTCAGGCTAAGGCAGGGGAATTGAGAGCTCAAGTCCACCCTGGGTTACACAGAGTTTGAGGCCAACCTGGGATAGTTAACAATCTCCTTTAAAATTTTTTTAAAAATATTTTATGTGTATGAGTGTTTTGTCTGTGTATAAGTGCACCTGTGTTGTGCAATGCTGTAGGAGGTCAGAAGAGGGCGTCAGATCCCCTGGAACTTGGGTTATGGCTGGTTGTTAGCCACCATATGTGCACTGGAAACTGCATGTAGGTCCTCTGTAAGAGCTGCAAGTGCTTTAACCACTGAACTATCTATCTCTTCAGCCCCCAAACCCTATTAAAAAAAAAAAAAAAGTCAACACCAGACACAGCAGGTTCCTCTAGGACCAGCATGGAAAATTTAATTAACTTGCGATTCCCAAACTCAAAGCCAGGCAGGCCCTCAGACTTCAGAGCCAGGCTCGTGGCCACTAAGGTACATGAGTTGACTAGGACATCAGCAGAGCTCTCACGTGAGAAGGAGTGAGTTGGCCATGATGGCATTGGCAGGTGGGGTACCACAGTGAACTGTCAACCTTCTCCAAGTGGCTCTAAAATCCACAGGGCCCCTGCAGCTCTCCTGACTCAAGTTGTGTCTTGTGGGGACAAGGCATCCTAAGGAGGTTTTTATCACAGTACTTGTGCCTCACTTATTTCAAGTCCTTCTGTAATGTTAGCCTGCTTCAATCTGGTTTTTTTAGATCTGGAAGAGAACCAGTTTCCCACTTCCCAAATAAGGAAACTGAGGTTAAAAAAAAGGCTTTCCCGTTGCCCCTCAGTGAAAAGACGTCCCAGGACGCTGACATCATCTAGTACCCAGAGTCGAGTGTGAGCCCAGGTCCCGGCTGCATTCACCACCTGGAGTGTATGTGGTCTTTCGAGACAGCAGTTCCTCCTTCTTCAACCACAGAAAACGAAAAGAATTAAGGGGGAAGAATGACCTCTCTGCGGGTCATTGAGCATGAAGTTTCTCCCAGAGCCTGTAGCCAAAACCAGGCGCGGCAGCTGCGCCCCCTGCTGGCAGAAGCGCAGTATCACATCTGTGGCAAAGGAAGGAAGGAGCATGGTGGTCCTCAAAGTCAAACAGCCAGAATTAAGATCCCTGTTCTAACAAGGACTGGGCAAATGCCCCTGGCCATTAGTTTTCCTTCATTGAGTCTCCACTGCAGACAGTATAACATACTTAAAGTCACCAGGTTTGCCAGAAAAATGTTTGCTATAAAATTGCAAATGAAAGGAAACAGGTGCTGGGTCCTTGCACTTGGGAAGTCGGAAAGTCGTGTAGTTCTCGCGTGATTGTGGCAGGCGCTGTAAGAAGGTGGTAGATGCACAGTCTCCCCAGCCTTGGTACCCCGCCACCACCACCATCACTGTGGCAACCGCTCCCACCTCCTAAGGTAGGAACTGTCCTGCCGGTTGAGCATCAGCAACAATGATGCTTACTTTTGCAGGACAGCGACTACGAAAACCCAGATGAGCATTCGGACTCCGAGATGTATGTGATGCCTGCCGAGGAGAACGGTGACGACAGCTACGAGCCGCCTCCAGCCGAGCAGCACACTAGGACGGTCCACCCAGCCCTGCCCTTTGCCAGGGGCGAGTATGTAGGTGAGGCCGCCAAGGACGCTGGGCGCTCTGCCTTTGGAGTCACAGAGAGGGAAGGTGGGCCGAAGTAGCTGCTCCCTGAGGGTCCCCCGCCCGCCTCCACTCCTACTTCCGGGTGGGTGGCGGGTGGCGGTCCAGGCCTGGCAGGTGAGGGTGCTTAGTGGTATGGCTTTTCTATTCTTGGGCGTGGGGTGGAGCACCTTTCCTAGATTCGGAGAATTGATCAGGCAAAAATGAGTTGATAACGAAGTGTATCCTAGCGGTTGCCCCCACCCAGCGCACACCCATAGTTTCAAGGAAGTCAGCCCAGAGGTCAGGCCAATTTCTCTTTGGAACTCTTACATCAAGGTTCTGGAACTTACGGTGACCTTCCACTAAGCACCTTCCTGCTCTAGTGTCAGACAGCTCTGCACCCAGCTATCTAGACTATGGATGTCTGCCTGGAGGTGGGCGTGGCAGTAAACTCTGGGTGCAGAATTAACATCATCGTTGGCCAGAACGACACAGCACAAGTCTGGCCTCGAGAACTAAGCATGGAGTGGGAGCACAGGCCTCTAATCCTAGCTGTGGGGGACACTGAGGCAGGAGCATCCCAAATTCAAGACCAGGTTGGGCAACTTAGCAAGATCTTGTCTCAAAATAAAAATAGTCAAACTCATGCAGGAATTAAGGTCAGCAACTGACAAATGGGGACCTCAGTAAACTAAAAGTCTTTCTGTACAGCGGAGGAAACAACCAATGGAGGGAAGAGGGAGCCCACAGAATGGGAGAAAATCTTCACTAGCTACACATCTGACAGAGGATTAATATCCAGAATCCTCAAAGAACTCAAAAACCAAAGGCAAATAATTAAAAAAAAAAAAGTGGGGGGAGCAAGCGTGTCCATGACCAGGGCAGGCCTTGCATTTTCAGTGTGTTCATCCCCACTGCTGCCAGAAGTCTCTTTACGGAGCACCGGGTACTGCACCAAGCTTTGGTTCACAATTAATCTGTTGGCACTTGCTATGTTCCAGAACCATGCTGTATTAGTCACTTTTCTGTTGCTATGATAGAAACACCGACCAAAGCAATTTATAGAAGGAAGAGTTAATTTGAGCTTATGGTTCCAGGGGAATTACAGTCTGTTATGGCAGGGAGGCATGGTGGCTGGAGGTGGCTGGAGCAGGAGCAGCAGAAGCTAAGCTCTCACATCATCACACAGGCACAGGAAGCAAGAGAGCAACTAGAGATGTGGCAAGGCTTAAGAACTCTGTAAGCCCACCCCCAGTGACGTGCTTCCTCCAGGCTAGCCACACCTTCTAAAACCTCCCAAAACAGTGCCATCATCTGGGAGCAAAATGTCCAAACCCTTGGAGCCTATGGGGGACATTTTCATTCAAACCATCACACATGCTAAGCCTTGAGCATTCAATGTTAAGCAAGGCAACATACTTCTAGACCCTTTTAGAGCTTGCAGGGCAACTGTGGCCACCTAACCCCATCCACCTTGGAGAAGAGGGATGCATCCCCACTGTATGGAGTAAGGAGGGACTCAGAAGAGAAAGCTAACCGGGTCAACGTTCGATGGGTGGCAGAGCTAGGCTGTGAGCCCTTCAGCCTCCCAGCCAGCCTGCTCTATTATTTACCTGTCCATGCATTTCCCACTGGTCTTGGTAAATGACCTTGTTCACTCGTTAATTACCATGAGCCTGGGAAGAAAGGGGCTATATTACTCCCTCTGCAAACCAGAAACCACAATTCCTGGTGGCTCAATGGTTCATTCAGAGTATACTCTTCAAAGACTGCCTTCTGTGTTTTGCTACTTCTGATGGACTTAAACATTGCATCAAAAAGAAACCTACATAAATGCCAAGCATTACAAATAAACTGACATTATAGACACAGCAAAGCAGATGCTCTCTAGTGTGTAAGCACAGTAAATGTGATGCTGACCACCAACCCTTGGCAAGGAAAAAGCAGGGGCAAGGATGGGTACAGGAAGAGTGCAGTGTCCAGGTGTGACAGGCAGGACAGCATTGGGGGGATGTCATAAGAGGAAGCAGCACGAAGCCTGCCCATGAGGCAGTAGAGGCTACTAGAAGCAACGGCACTGCCCTGGGGTGGGGACACGAGGTGATTCCTATACTCGGAGCTTCTGAAAATGTGTCAGTCTGGTCAAAACTTGACTCACAGCATCTCTGGGTAAACTGGAGGATCGGAAGCCCTCACAGGGCATGGTGATACTAGATCCATTTGTCATGTGGACACACTGCACCTGCTGCTTTCACTGTGGTCTTTCTAATCTCTATAATAACCCTTTAAGATGGATAGTGAGATCTTCTGTTTTAAAATGAGGAAGTGAGTCCCAGAGACACTGAACAACTGGCCCAAACAGGTGCAACAATCAGAGCAGGAGCAGGAACTCAGATCTATCCAACCTTCAGAGCCCATGCTCTTTTATTGACATCTGCTGAAAATGATAGTTATGGATAAATAGGGTCTCATACTTCTCCATAAATTGAAGGAGGTCACTGAGGGAAGGAATTTGATGTACCTTAGAATAACCTGGGGATCCTGGGGAATATTTTAAACCCATGCCACCAGACCTCATCCAGAAGTCTAGAATTAGGCCTGGGATGAACCACTTTTAAATCCCCCAAGGTGATTCTAATGTGCAAATTGGACTGAGAATTGCATCCCTTTTCCCCCATGCTGTTTCTACCTACTGTGCTTGGCAGAGTGTTGGGTTTCAGCTCTCCTGAGCCTATGGAGCCTCCTCCATCACTGCCTGGGGAGGATCTCCCCCCGCTGGTTATCATGTAGAGGAATGGACAGTTGGAGCTTTTGGCCTAACAGTTCACTTAGCTCCTTTGAAAGACACTACATTGAGCCCCTGCAGACACATAGATGCCTTTGACTGTATATTTTCAAATCTCCATGGTTTCTATCCAGTGAATGACCCAGAACCTCTTTTGTGTTTGTTCAAGATAATCGATCGAGCCAGCGGCACTCTCCACCCTTCAGCAAGACACTTCCCAGTAAGCCCAGCTGGCCTTCAGCTAAAGCAAGGCTGGTCTCCACTCTGCCAGCCCCCACCTCTCTGCAGAAGCCTCAAGTCCCCCCCAAACCCAAAGACCTCCTTGAGGATGAGGTAAAGTAAGCCTTGCCAAAGGCTGTGTAGGAGGGGAGGCGGGGTAGTGGCCAGGACAGTTGACCTGGGGTAGTCTCCCTTCTTCCAGGCCTTGCTCTCCAACTGGTCCCCAACCTCTCCCCACCCCACAATGTTACACTGAGGGGAACTTGTTTTCTCTAGAAAATGGCATGTGTAACCTCATTTCAAGCATCTCAGTTTTCCAGAATCTGTGCCCCTCCTTGTGGTCCCTGCTTCCTCCTCTTCTTGGTTTACTGTGAATCTTCTCTTTTCTTTAGAAATGTGATGTATACACAGAATCTGTGCCCCTCGTGGTCCCTGCTTCCTCCTCTTCTTGGTTTACTGTGAATCTTCTCTTTTCTTCCTATGTTTATCCTCCTTTGTTTCTCTACCCACCCCCTTCTGACTTTCTCTCCTTCGCCGTCTTTCCTCTCTACATCTCTGCTTCCCTCTTCCCAGAAGCAGAGTGCTGATGTGAGGCATGGGATGGAGATGCTCAGTCAACAGGGGGCCCTGTGCAGCCTCTCTTCCCTTCACAGCCCCTGCTTCCCACTCCTGCCCCAAGAATCCAGAGACCCACCTTGTCAGTGTCAGTCTCCCCTCTGCAGTGCCTGCCTTTTGTGAGTCTGACTCCAAGTGGGATCGCTGCCGTTTGAAAATGACTGGGTGAACTCATCTAGCTGGTACAGCAAGGGCTGCTAAAGCCCAGTGTGCAGTGGTTCCCAGAGGCAGTTGCTGTCTAAGGACAAAGACGAGCCTTCAAGCAGAGTCGTTAAGATAACCTAACTGTACAAGGTGGCACTAAAGGCAGCTCTTAACCATCACCAGAAAGAATCCTACTGTAGCTTCTCTAAGAAATACTTTGTTTCGAAACACCTGTAGATGAAATAAGCTGTGGTTTTCAAACATGTGAAATGACCTTCGTTTGCATCTTAACATGCTTTATAGCCCAGCAGGAGATGGAAAAAGAGGAGCTTTAAAAGCAAAATATGACAACATCTAGGCCTAAATTGCTTCTCAGATCCTTTTAGGTCTGTGACTTTGGGCAAGCTAGCCAACCTCTCTGAGTCTGTTTATTTGATTTTTTTTTCTTTTCATTATATTGTTTTGATATTTGTTTAAGTATGTATATAAGTGCAATTCCTGATACACAGAAGGGGCTTGTTGTATGTGTTGGATTTCTTTCTAGCATACACTAGACTCTTTATAAACTTAGTTTTCTAGTTTCTCCTGAAGACCGAAGGCTTGACAGTAGCCAGTGCTGACAGGACCACTGACCCTTGCTGTAGCCTACTAGCTCAGCTGCGAATGAATCCCTGGTCCTTTTTCCATTTGCCATAGGCCCCACCAGGCCTACAGTGCCTGTGCAAACTCTCACCCTGCACAGGCTCTTCTCTCCTGTCACCTACCTGCCCCTCCCTGCTCCAGAGACAATGAAAAATGGAACAGCAGCAGATTTGGGGGTAGAAAGTGTCAGTCCTCCGTCAGTCAGTATGAGAGGTGATGCTATCTCTTCAGGTAGGCATAGAGCAACACGGAAGACCTGAGTAGGCTTAGGGTTAGATTCTCTCAGCATTGGGTAAATGCACGTGGACTGGTAGGTGCTTCCAGACTCTGCATTTCTGCGCTTAGCTGAGAGGGAACCCAGTGAGACGAGGCAGAGTCACACACAGCAGCCCTGTGGAGGTGGCGGTAGCAAAACTGTACCAGTGAAAAAGAGGCGTAGAGGAGGCTGTGCTCTGGAAGAGGCAGTCGGAAAGTTAAGAAAGAGGCTACAAAGACATGACAAATCAAGGGGCTGCGGTGATAGTTCCATCAGTAAACTGTTTGCCTTAGAAAGAATGAGGACCTGGGTTCAACCCTCTAAGAACCCATGTTAAAAAATAGCTAGGCATGGTGGTGCTTGCTTATAATCCCAGTCCTGGGGAAGTGGAGAGAGGCAGATTCTTGGGACTCACTGGCTAGTCAACGTAACCTAATTGCTAAGTCTCAGGCTAATGATACACCTGGTCTAAAACACACACACACACACACACACACACACACACACACACATTTAAAGAACCCATGTAGGCCAACATTAAGATGTAGCAGAACTATTAGATGGGGAAAGAAGTGATCATACATAAAAAGTTTTAGCTCTTCTCTGCAGGTTGTAGCAAGATGTAGAGCTTCGTGTTCAGCAGACAGTAAGCGGTGGAACAAAACATGCTAGTGAGGAAGCACATGCTGTACTGGCAGCTCTGGCCAATGCCTGCTGAGTGTTGCTCTCCAACATGCTGGGCGTGTTGTGGGTCTGCCATCTCACAGACGAGGACACTGAGATGCAAAGGAGTTGAAAGACTTGTCCAAAGTCACAGAAAAAAAGGTAGTGCTGGCCTTTGACCCTAGAATAATAAGCTGTTGGAGCCAAGGAGCTAAAGAACTACCTTACAGCAACTTTTCAGCACCCAATGAGAAGAAACTGACATTTCATTCAACAAAAATGTGCCCAGCACTTCATGGTGCCCAAGGCTTCCATGGTGCTCAGAACAGATTCAGTACCTGTTCTCATGAGGCGTCACACTTATGGCCTTGGATGGGTTTTTCAAGTTCTCGCGAGTCCCTTATCTGTAATGTCAGGATAAATGTGCCTGTCTTACAGAGTCGGTGGCACCATAAGAATGCAACAGAATAATATATGTTAAGCTACTAGATGCCCACACGATTGGTGAAGAGAAATAAATTCATGTGTACACATAATAGCTGGTCAAAATGACTCTTGGTAAATAGATTATGGGACAATGGGAATACGAAGACAAAATGAATCTGTGCACCAAGATTTTCAAATCTGTATTGGGGGTGGGGGGACGTAAACTGGCATATTAACACGGAAGCATCTGAACCCTGTAGTCCCCCTCCTTTACTGCTGAGGGTTGAACTCAGGGCCTTACATATTGTAGGCAGACATTCTACCACTGAGCTATCCTCAGCCCTTTTAAATTTTCCTTTTGGAACAGAGTCTTGCTAAATTGTCCAGCCAGCTTTGAACTTGCTATGTAGCACAGGCTAATCTCAACTCTGTGATTGTCCTGCCTCAGCCTCCCAAGTAGCTAAGATTACAGGTGTGTATACCACACCCGGCTTATTTATATTTTTGAATCTCATGTTCTTAGAATCACTGATATTTTTCTAGTACATGTAGGTCATGCTAGTAGAATAATCTGCTTGTGATCAAAAGATCAACTGTTAGCTGGGCATGATGGTACATGGCTGTAACCGCAGCATTCAGGAGGTAGAACTATAGGATCCGGAGTTGAAGGTCATCTTCAACCACATAACAACTTGGAGATCAGCGTGGTGTCTCAGAAAAAGGATTAATTATCAATAACACTATAGTTAGTTTAATGAGTTGTTCATGGGATGATGTGGTTTATAGCAGAACATCACGGCAATTTCTGTGGTCTTTTATGGTATGACTGTGATAGATCTTGATCATATATTCATTTGGGAGGTAACAATTTTAAATCACTGAGTTACAGTACTAGAAAAATACATTGCACATCCCGGCCCTTAAACGAACAGAATTTGTTAGGATTGGTTCAAGTGTTTTTTTCTTCTGTTATTGCTCTTTTAGAATTCAAATGTCTCAATTCCAGAAATAGCATTACTCTACATAGATCAGATTCCAGGTATTGCAGAGAGAGTAGCTCCTGTTGAAAGTGAAGATGAGGTGAGAAACAGCAACTAAATGGAAAGAGAGCGGACCTGTGAGAGAGGAGGAAATGAATGCAAGGAGCTGTGCACAGGAGGCAAGCAGATGGTTCTGAGTGCCTGAACTGCCTGGGTTTGGATCCAGGACCTACTGCTTTTTATCTGTAAGACCTTGCACAGCCTGTGTGTTTCTCTGTACCCGTTTCTTCATCTTGAGTTGGTGTTAGTATCTACCTGACTGGGTTGCTGGAAGGATTGAGTGAGATGGTATTTAGTGTTTGCTTCTTCTGGTCCCTTCCTGAAGACCCACCAGGGTAGATTAGAAAAATGACTTTTAAGAACTGGGTTCCTCATTTGTGTTCTGTTAACATAAAATCATTCCCACTGTATGTTTGTGCTCAGTTGGTTGTTGACAGGTGCCAAGAAAAGTCAATGGTGAAGTAACTGGATTTTTATAATTATGCTAGAAAAACTATGCATCCACATGAAAAAAAATGGAATGGAACCCTATAACATATCCAAAAATTAACAAAAATAGATCACAGATCTAAATGTAAGATATGAAACTGTCAGGCTCTTAGGGAAAAAATAAATAAAAGCATAGACAGAAATCTTTATGACCTTTGGTTAAGCATTTATTTTTTTTGACACCAAAACACAAAGAAAAAATACATGAAATAGACCTCAAAATTCAGAACTTCATGCTGTAAGTGATACCATAAAAATGTGTCACCATCCCTGTAATCCCAATACCAGGAGACTGAGGCAGGAGATGCAAATTCAAAGGTAGCCTGTGCCACACAGTGAGACCAGAATTAGAGGGCAGAAATTGCACATCATATATCTGATAAAACACTTGTGGACTTGTATCTAGGACACACAAAGAACTAGCATGCTACCACAACAAAAAGATTTAAAAAAAACAATTAAAATGAGCAAGGATTTGAGCAAGATATGCAAATGGCCAATCAGCACTTGAAGAGTTGCTGAGTAGCATTAATCATCAAAGGAAAACAAGTCAAAACTATACAAGAAAGACACCACTGCACACCCACAAGGACGTCTGTATGCAAATAGACCGGCAGAACAAGGTTTGGTAGGTGCATGGAGAAATCAGATCTACTACAGTGATGCCAGACGTGGAAAATGGTGCTGCCCTCTTTGGAAAAGAGTTGGCGGTTCCTCAGACTTAAACATATGACCCAACAATTTCACCCCTAGGTATATAAACAAGGGGAATATCTACACAAAAATGTGCATACACATATTTATAGCAGCTAAAAAGTAGAACCAATCTAAATCTCCAACAATAAACAAAATGTGGTATATCCATATAATAGGACAATATTTGTCCATAAAAAGGAGTGAAGTAGTGATACAAATTATGATATGACAAAATCTTGCCAATGCCATAATAAGTGAAAAGTCACAAAAGACAATATGTTAAATGTGTCCATTGATGTACAGTATTCAGAATGGGCAAAACTGTCGAGACAGAGACCATCTTGTGGCTGATGAGGTCATGGGAAGGGGTAGGTGGGGAGTGAGGTAGTGGGCACAAGGTTTTTGGGGGAAGTGATACCGATGTTCTCAAATTAGGTTGTGGTGATGATTGAACAACTCTGAGAAAACAGCAAGCCTTCCATATCTGTGGACTCGTATCTACAGACTCAAATAGTTGCAGACAGGTGTTTTTTTTGTTGTTTTTTTTTAAAGAAAACTGTGCTTGTATTAAATATGTAGATCTTTTTCCTGTTGTTCTTCCCTAAAAATGCAACTGTTTACAGAACATTTATGTCATATTAGGGATTTTAGAAGCTTAGAGATTATTTGACATAGTCACAAAACTGTGCATTAGTTGAATACTGATACTGTCCATTTTATATAAGGAACTTGAGCAGCCATGGAGTTGGGTATTTATAGAAGAGTCCCTGAGAGCCAGTTCCCTGTAGATACTGATGAATGACTAAGTGCCCAAAATTCCCATCATCAACTTCACCTAGCGCAATTTTATAGTATGTGAGTTATATCCCATTAAAGGTTCTTTAAAAAACAAAGATCACTTCTTTCCACAGTTAGCTATGAATGTACAGCATTATCTTCATATTTCTATGTCTCTTTTAGGCTGATTATGTGGTCCCTGTGGAGGATAATGATGAAAACTATATCCATCCCACAGAAAGCAGCCCACTTCCAGCAGAGAAAGGTGAGTGTTTAGAGTTTTGAGAACCTGAAAACTTCTCGCACACACCAGGCTATTCCGTAGTCAGTGCTGAGGGGCTCAGAAGTGACAGTGTCCAGCCCCTCTCCTCTGTAGCCACTGATACTGAGGGAGCATCAATGAGCAACTCATACCTAGGTTTCATGGCCCTTCTTCCTCTTTCACGATTTAACATACCCATCTCAGTTATTATCTGGGTTATTATTTTCAGCTGCCCTCACTTAGATTGTTTCTCTTACAAAACCTAATACAGGACAGTGAGCCGCCATGTTGACCTTGTGCATAGTGCACCGTGAGTGATTTCTGTAATGATAAAATGAGAGAGAACATACTCTGCATCATGGCTCTTTAGATTCCACTGTGTCTCAGGCCTACGGGAAACATTTTGTTTGAGGATCCTTGAGATAACAAATGCTATTATAAACAATCTCTGACCAATGCCACATACCTCAGATTAGACATAGAAACCAAATGCTCCAGATAGGATCCCTTTGGAGAACACAGTTACGGGCAGATGATATCTCTTCCAATGATTCTACTCATCAAATAAACTCCACGTCAAAGAACAGTCCTCAATTCTCAGTTTTCACATAACAACTCTCTCCTGCACTCCCCAAATATGAGCAACAGAAGCACTTACACATACCCCCCCCTCCCTCTCCTCAAACCACCTTGAAATCCAAAAGAAGTTGCATATGCCCTGGGAACTAGGGCTACTACTTATTTGGCTCTGCTGTGTTTAGGTTTAATACCCTTCTCCTGATGAAAACAAAATAAACTTTGTCATCTCCTGACCTCCAGTTGGGCAAATGATATTCTAATTTAGTATGTAATTTAACAGAACATCCTTATTTTATTTTTTTAGTCATTAATACGTCTAACCTAGAGCTTTCCTCTGAGAAGACTTTTCCAAATGGTTTGCATGTTTGGTAAGGGTGTCACTGGTTCTTTGTAGACTTTCTGGTCTGACGTATCATCTTTCTCAATAGGAAGATTTTCCTCAGTGGATGTGTCTGAAATCATGTGTGTGCATATCTGTGTCTTTTTCAGCTCCCATGGTGAACAGATCAACCAAACCAAATAGTTCCTCAAGGCTAGTGTCACCTTCAGGGAGAACTGCAGGTAAAGTATGTGTATGCTTTGGTTTGGTTTATGATCTGTTCCAGAGGAGATATTCATATATGAATAATCATCTGTATCCTCAAATGTCTTGACAAATGGGAGCAGAAGGCCTAGCTTATCTTTGCTCACTGTTGGCCATCATATGGAAGGGACCCTCACCCTAGAAGATTTGGGCCCTGATGGGAAAGTCCTGGTCTTCATCCCCTTGATACGTTTTTGGATGACTTCTCTCTATCTCCGCTCTCCTGAATGAGAGTTGGTCCCAGGCTTCACCTCTGCTCTTCTGTCTGGTGAGGAAAGCTTAGGTTTTATATCACAGACCTGATTTGGGATCCCGGAGCTCCTGATTACCATCCATAGAGCCTTGGGTTCGAACTTCACCTCTACAAGCATTGTTTTTTCTCAACTGTATATGGCACCCACAATCCCTACCTGTAATGGGAGAATTCTGAAAGGATGACAGAGGAAACTTCATGTAGCACCTAACACACAGCTGAAGAGAGAGATGTTCCATGTCTCTGGGGATCACCCTTCCTTCTGACCTCGCTTCTCATGTCTAAGCTAACGACTTCCTGGCATTAGCCCTGACCGACTTCCCATCTGACCTCCAGGCACCATCTCACACTCAGTGTCTCTGTCACTGAACTCTAAGCTCAGCTCATCACTGCCTCCCTCCTGCTGTCCTGCTTCCTCTACAGCCTCCAGGATGCCTGTCTCAGCCCCTGGCCCTCTCCGGCCTGCTGTTTCTTCCTCTGGAATTTGCTCTTTTATTTTAGCTGCATTTTCTTTACTTTATTGTTTCAACCTCTTGTCTACCACTGTCTCCTAGATACATCCCTGCCTCAGCCTTCTCCTGCACATCTGGAGACAGGTGTAAGAAGTATTTTAGTACTTCTGAAGCTTTCCAGATGTAGCCAGCCACATTCCACTATGCCACTAAGTACCGGAGCCATGGACACCCAGTGATTCCTAGTTGTCTCCTTAAGGTTTCAGCGCAGCTAGAGCCAGAGATGTCAAGTGCTGCCTACTCCACCCCATCACTAGCACAGAGAGGAGGGGAAGCTCAGCCCCTTACACACACACACCACACACCACACATCCCAAAACTCACAAAGCACTCCCCTCTTCTAGAACTAACCAAAGTGATTAGGTTCTGCTTCCAGAGACAGATTCCTTGAGAGAAAAAATGTTCCAAAGTTATGTACTAGACTCATTTCAGGTAAAATGGTTTATTGTAAAGCCTTCTGTCACTCACTTATCTTCTCTCTCAGAACCCACAGTCTCTGCACACTTAGAGAGTGGAGGTCAGAGCCCCATTTCCTAACTTCTCTTCTCTGGCAGCAAAGGCCAACTCAGCAAGCCAAGATGTCATGGCGAGGTTGCTTTGAGCCCAGCTGCAATTCAGACTCCAGGCTCCTGTCCTCTTAGGATGAGGGATGTTTTTACTAGGACAGAAAACCTTTAACTGGAACAGATGAATGAAGATTTAACTCCCCTTGGAAAAACAGGTTAACAATCTCTGGTGTTTGCATCTTTAAAAGCTCTGCTTTCGATACAAGGACCTCTTCTTCCCCAACACACATGTGCTCTAATCTACCTATAATTAATGGGTCCTGCTGTTAGGTCCTTGTGTTTTCACTTTTAGGGCCCCAAATCCTGCCTATCCTTTAAGGCTCAACTGGAGGCCTCCACCTCTAGGAAGCTTCCTCTGGTTTCTGTGCCCCCCTCAGAGAGCTCTCCTTTGCCCAAAGTCTCTTCCCTCTTATCCTGAGCCCATACCTATTCCATAATTACACTGGTGCCAGTCCAGGCTCCCTAAGCACATGGAAGATCTTGAATACAGAAGGCCTTACCTGATCCCACATTGGGATAGAGCCCCAAGATGCATACTTCTACAGAGTCCTGAATATATTTTTATCCCATGACCCCCTCATGAAGTTTCTATCTTTCCTGTGGGAGTCCCAGCTCCATGTCTTGTCCCCAGCTGTCTCAAGGTCTAACCTTGTTGAGATGGTAGGTGGGTCAGCTGGTTGAGAGAGTAAGTCCCCAAATGCTGGTAGATCACTGGGTATGTGACTCACCGGTCTGTTATGAACCTCTAGTATAACTATATATTAATACTAGAGGCAACAGGCAAAGAACCCAAATCTAAATAAGAAAATAATGTCCTGATCATACGACTTTTGCACAAAGATAGGTGGAAAGACAGGAAGGGGAGGAACTGTCTTAGTTTCCTCCCCTGTAGCTGTGGTAAAATACTCTGACAAAAACAACATAAGGAAATAGAGTTTATTCTGACTTACAGTTCAAGAGTAAGTCAACCATGGTGGAGAAATCAAGGCAGCAGGAGCTTGAAACAGCTGGTCACATCCCATTTCCAGTAGAAAAGCAGAGAGTGATGACTGCACACAGTGCAGGGCTGCCTGTTTCTGTTTTCTACAGTCCAGCATCCCCTGCCCAGGGAATGGTCCTGCCCACAATTAAAAGGAGTCTTCCCACATCAACTTCATGAACATTAACTAGTCAGGACAGTCCCCACAGGCATGGCTAGAGGCCCATTTCCCAGGTGATTCTAGAATCTGTCAAGTTGCCATCACTAACCATCACAAGGACAAACCTGAGAAGCTGATTTCTGAGCACGAGAAAAGAATTTCCAGAGCTTTTGTTGGTGGTAGTTTTTTTTATGTTTGTTTTGTTTTTGTTTTGTTTTTCGAGATGGTCTTCATACCCAGGCTGGTCATGGGAATTCTGACTCAGCCTCTTTTGTGCTAGGATTATAGGTATGTGTTACTACCCCTATTTCAGAGGAGATTTTTGTAAAAGTAATGGCCAGATGGCTTTCCTATGTTATGAAATAACCATTTTTTATCCCTTAAAGGCTTCAGCGTTCCCCCTGCTCTCAGGGCTCAATTTTGACATAACGTTTTAAAAACTCTGTCACGGGCCAGGTGTGGTGGCGCACGCCTTTAATTCCGGCACTTGGGAGGCAGAAGCAGGCAGATCTTTGTGAGTTTGAGGCCAGCCTGGTCTACATAGTGAGTTCCAGGACAGCTGGGGCTACAAGGAGACCCTGTCTCAAAAAAGACAAAAAACAAAACAAACAAAAAAACAAAAAAAAACCCTCTGTCTCAGGGTTTCTTAACATTTGGGGCAAGATTATTCTTGTTGTGTGGCTGTCCTGTGTTGCAGGCTATCCGGAAGCATCTACTAGGTTCCAATAAGCATCTCCCTAAATGTGATAAACAAAAACATCCCTAGATGGTGCCAAGTACCCCTGAGTTGGGGACCAAAGGGCTGGATCCCAATAGTGATTTAGCTCCCAATGAGAATTTGAAGATGATGAAATCTCTGACTGATCTATAACTTTTGCCAGGAGAGCTTCCTTTAAGTTAATATCACTTTAAAAATATTCTGTCTCAGTGGCTGGAGAGATGGCTCAGTGGTTAAGAACACTGGTTGTTCTTGCAGGAGACCTGGGTTTGAATCCCAGCACCCACATGGCAGCTAACAACTGTCTATAACTCCAGTTCCAGGGGATCCAACAGCTTCTTCTGACCTCTGCGGGCATTGCACAACATGGGTGCACTTACCTACATGCAGGCAATACACGAATACACATAAAATAAAAATAATAAATAAAATTTTTAAAAAAATTCTGTCTCAATGGGTATAGTGGTGCACACCTTTAATCCCAGCACTTGGAAGGCAGAGGCAGTCGAATCTCTGTGAGTTCAAGGCCAACTGGGGCTACAGAGAGACCCTATCTCGAAAAAGACCAAAAAAAAAATTCTGTCTCTTTCCTAAAAGAAAGAAAGAAAGAAAGAAAGAAAGAAAGAAAGAAAGAAAGAAAGAAAGAAAGAAAAAAGAAAAAAAGAAAGAAAGAGTTTGGAATTTAAATATCTACATAAATGCAGAAACTGAATTTCTCCCCAAGTAGCCCAAATTGTTGTAGACTTGCTGAGTAAAATCTTTGGTGTGCATTCTGAAGAATACAGGATGCTGCAGGCACTATCCAAGAACCCGTAAAGGGAGCTGAAGCTTACCCAGACTCACAGTGCTGAAAAAGAATTGTAAGAATAAGAATAAGGAAACTTAACGACTATCTATGTGAAAGTGAAAATAGAGTGATATGAAAAGTACAGACGGGAGAGGCAAAGCTGTTGAGGACACGTCTTCCTGGTTGAGGAGCCTGTGAGCACAGGTTTGCACAAGGCCTATGCCATTAGAACAGATAATTCCAAATTTCTTACTCAGGACAGATAGACTGAAGCTGATTTTTCTCTTTTGCTTTTATGCTTTTCGTACATCTCCATCTACCACTTTTCACCCTTAGAGCATCCCAACCAAGAACTAGACTCTTCTAGTAACCAAGGAGGCTGCCAGGTGTGCCTCTGCTGGGGTCATCCTACTCTGATGTGCCCCTGGGTCTGACTGTACTTTGGGAGAACAGGAGGGCCCCAGCCAATGAATAGAGGAGTCTATCTCCATTCTCCCTGAACAGTCAGTCACAAAAGCACTCCCTCCTTCCTGTCTAAGAGAAACAACAGTGAGTCTGACCTGCACAGCAAGACTTAAAGAGCAGTACAGTCTTGACTAGAGAGAGAAGCACCTGCCTGGCTTTGCAGCTCAAACAGCCCAGCCACTTCCCCTCTCTAAGCCTCCATCAGTTCTACCCAGTGTTAGTGTGACTTGGACACTGTATATTCAAAGTCCCTAGTACATTGCCAGCACCTAGAGATATTGAATACTCACCATAAGACACTAAGACAAAAACAATAAAAATCCTATTTGCTAATCCTTTAGGAGATATAATTTGCATATCATGAAACATCACTGAGATAATTTTTGTAAATCATTTATAGTAACACAGCATGTAACCATCATCATAGTCCACTTTTAGAAAATTTCCATGTCTGCTCAGTCCCACAAGATTTCCTTCTGCCCATTTTTAGACCGTGCTATGCAGTTCCCACTCATGGCTCCAAGCAACCACTCGTCGACTTGGCTTGGCTTTGCTTGGTCTGCTTTTCTGGCACGTCTGTGGACAGAATCGCTCTGTGCGGTCCTGCACATCTGGCTCCCTTCACTCACTGTAGTGCTTTTAACCATCAAAAGATTTTTCCCTTTTCCCAGTACCATTCATTTTGGCTGTATTCGGCTAATTCTTTAAAACATCAAAGTTTAAACCACAAAAACTGAATTTGATAAGATGGGGAATGTCTCCGTTTCAGAGGAGCTAAAAATATGCTGTAGCTAGAACTTTGTCTTCCCAATTCAACGCTACATTTGTTGTTGCTGCTGCTGTATTTATATTTATTTATTTCGGGGGGTGGGGCATACCTGTGCCACAGTGACCACATGGAGGTCAGAGAACAACTTTGTGGAGTGGGTTCTCTCCTTCCACCAAGTGAGTTGTGGGGCTCAAACCTGGGTCAACAAGCTTGGCAACAAGCAACTTTACCCACTGACATGTCACCAGCCCAACCTGCACGGGCTTTGCACCAGCACTGTGCTCAGAGCAGAGCTAGGAGGCCCTCCCTCCCTCTGCTGATTACGAGCTATTTTTGGAGAGGAAAAGAAAGGGGAGGTGTTGGTAGACTGATTGGCAATATGGCAGAAAGGGTAGCTGACTGGAAAAGCCAAGCAGTAGTTTAACAAAGGTAATATGCCCAGGCTGAATGAGTCCGTGACATTTAACAAGAAGAGGAAGAATTTCTGGGAAAGAAATTCTGACTTAGACCTTTTTTCTATGCCCTGACTTCACATATGAGATCCCCCTACTTCCCTGAACTCTTCTATCAAAATCTACAAGAGGCTAAGACTATTGTAACAGTGTCAATATTATATTCAATCTTACACAGCTAGTTGAACACAGTTGGCCTCACACAACACGTTCAGATGACATCTGGGCTTATTGTCATGTGACATGTACACAGATGGATGTAGTCTCTTTTCTTAAATGTTTCCTAAAATTGCATCTAGGTCAGGTAAGCTATAAGGAGGGGCAGCAATGGCGGTAGCACAGCTCTACCAGGTGCTGGAAAAAGCTTGGACCAGTCAGGACAACCCACTCTGGTTTTTGAGTGTTTAGCAACACTAGCACCCAGCTCAGCAAAAACTGTGTGTGGAAAAACAGTAGACAGGCTCTGAGCAAAAGCCACTAGAATAAACTTATGGCCTGCTCTTTAACACATTTTGAGGCCCTTTTCCTTGTTCGTGCTTAGGTGAGATGCTGTCAAGGGCACACCTATCTCTCCTTCGAGACATCTTCCACAGTGCCTACACATGGTTTCCAGTGCATCACACAACCAGGTTCTCAGTAATAATACTTGGTAATTGATTAATTTCAGTATTAACTTGAAAATTAAAGCAGTACACAGGCAGTGGATCTGACCCTGACCTTTGTGGGGTTTCATTGGTCTCTCAGAATCAGGGGCTCCGGAATTACTCAGTATTCCCTACACAGCCATTAGGAACTGTGCACTTCTCTGTGGAGTAGGCTCTTAGTGAAATGTTTATTCATGGCTGGGGAGATCTCTCAGTGGGTAAGAGTACTTGCTAGACACAGACATGAAAAGCCAAGCATAGTTATGCCCACACCTGTAGCCTCAGTGCTGTGGGGAGTGGAGACAGGAGGATTGCTGGGGCTCAGGAGCAGCCAGTCTAGCTCCAGGTTCAGTGAGAGAGCCTGCCTCAGAGGAATAAAGCAGAGTTATAGAGCAGGATGCCTGACATCATCCACTGGCCTCCACATACAGGCACACAGATATATCCCCTCCTCAACACATACAATGTTTATTCGGTTCAATTTGATGCAAGCATCATCACGAACCTTCTTGTCTCACTGAGCAGTAGTGTCCAAGTGGCTGCCCACATGAGGATCTATCGCTTCTCTACTGCTTCCCCCATAATTGTCAGGTTCCATCATCAATGGGAGGGGAGGCTGAGTACAAGGTCAAAGCCCCTGGGTCCCTTGTATAACTCAGAAGATGAGATATGGCAAATGGTCTCACATTTGCCCATATTTGTCTATTTGTGCCTGGGACAAAAGTCCTGAGGACTTGGCCATGAGCAAGTGGACGTTCTGATGCACTTGAGGAGCAGGGACTGCATTGAAATATGGTGTGCATGAGCTGGGGGCAGGGTCATGCATCACAAGGGGTGGGTTGAACACCTGTCTCTAGATATCTTCGCTGAGCACACCTGTAGAGTATACACAGATGCAAATGGGAGCTCTTGGCTTCCTCTCAAAGGAAACTTCGTGGGGTTTCATTGGTCTCTCAGAATCAGGGGCTCTGGAATTACCCAGAAGAAAGAAGTTCTATCAGGAATGTTAGAGTGGGCTTCTAACATACAGCTTGGGTCAGAGCTTATATGTTGGCATTTTTTCTTTTTTCTTTTTCATGTGTGTGTGTGTCTACATGTGTGTGTAGTGTGCATGTGTGTATGTGTATATGCATGTTTGCACATGTGTAAGCTCAGGTGTGTGGGTGCATGTGCATATGAAGGCTTGAGGTTGTTAGGAATCATCCTGGATCACTCTTCTGCCCCATTCATTGAGGCAGGCTCTCTCAATCAATCCTAGAGCTTGTCAATATGACTAGTCTTGCTGGTCAGCTTACTCTGAGCATCCCGTCTCCACCTTCCAAATCTGGAATTATAAGTAGGCCTCCATGCCCAGCCAGCATGTATGTGGGTTCTAGGAAGCTGAACTTAGGTCTTCACGCTTGGGCGGCAAGTGCTTTAACCATGGAGCAGTCTCCCCAATCCTCATACTGGCATTTGAATCTTTTTAATTCATTTAAAAATTTTTTATTTTATATGTATAAGTGTTTTGTCTGTATGTATGTAAGTGCATCACATGCATGCATCCCCTGGTTTGCCCCACAACTTCAGCATCACTAGACACATGCACTTCACTGAAAACAACCCAAAATGTGTCTCAAAAAGGCTAGCCTCAGAGACCACCAGGGGACAAGGCATAGGAACTGACCTGTGTATGTACTGTGCAGGTCGAAACAGCGGTGTCTGGGACTCCAAATCATCTTTGCCTGCTGCGCCATCCCCACTGCCAAGGGTCGGGTAAGTACTGAATGAGGAGAGTGGCTGTGTATGATCTGGGTATGGAAGATGGTGGGACCCTGCTACCCTGCTGACCCCTATTAGAATTCTCCAATCCCATGGCATCCTTTAGGTTGGACCAGAGGAGCCTCCACTGACATTGGAAATGAGTTTTGCTTCCCATAGAGGTAGTTTTGGTTAAATAGTGAATTCACTGACTCACAGTGTTTTGCAAGGCATCCCGACTTTCAGCACCTGAGTAGTTGGGAATTAGCAGGTTCATTCTACTCCCTTGCCTACTTTGCAAGTATTGTGGCCTATAAATGAATGACCAGGCATGAACACACATTAGGGTGGACGTTCATCCCAGCAGCACTGCAGAGCCTGCTTTGTAGGACAATGCAGAAGCACTTCTTGCTTATGGGACTTAAAGGGGCTTTGAAAACTACTGGGTGAGTATGGTAACATGTTATTACACACTTACAGGCTGGAAAGAAGGCTCAGAGGTTAAAAAAACAAAATACTCTTCCAGTTCAATTCCCAGCACTTGTCAGGTGACTTAAGACACCCTTAACTCCAGCTCCAGAGGATCCCACACCTCTGACCTCTGTGGGTACCCACACACAGACACATATTCATATACATAATTTTAAAAATATTTTACTTATTATTTTTATTTTCATGTGTATGCGTGTAATTGCCTGCATGTAGGTAAATGCACCCGTGTCATGCAATGCCAGCAGAGGACAGAAGAGGCAGTCAGATCCCCTGGAAATGGAGTTATAGACAGTTGTTAGCTGCCATGTGGGATTCAAACCTGGGCCTTCTGCAAGAACAGTCAGTGTTCTTATCCACGGAGCCATCTCTCCAGCCTATACATAATTTTTAAACAAAATGATTTTTTAAATAAATCACACTACATATGTCCAAAACTGACCAGAGTGGTTATAGTCTTAGTTCTGCCCTAGTGAAAACCGAAGTAAACTTCAATTTCACAGGTATGTTAAAACCAGAACTGCACACTTCTCTCTTGGCTCAGTTTTAATCACTTTAAGCACGTTCCTTAGCCTCTCTGAGTCTGTTTCCTCATCTCTAAAATATGAAAATAATATACATGTTAAAGGTCATTTAAATGGCTTAAATAATCTGCAAGAAGCTTAACCTAGTTCCAGATAGACATCTTAAAGACATTTAGAAATTTTTAGTATTCTTCCCCTGTACTTGAGTTCTCAGCCAAAAACAGAGGGAGTGGGGGAAGAGATAGAGGCAGAGGAAGAAGGAGGAGGACAAGGAGGAGGACGAGGAGGAGGAGGACGAGGAGGAGGACAAGGAGGATGAGGAGGAGGACGAGGAGGAGGACAAGGAGGATGAGGAGGAGGAGGAGGAGGAAGATGAGGAGGAGGACGAGGAGGACGAAGAGGAGGAGGAAGAAGAGGAGGAAGAGGGAAGAGGAGGCAGAGGGGGAGGATGAAGAGGAGAAGGAGAAGAATAGGGGAAAGGGGAGGGGAGAGGGAAGAGAAAGAAAAGGAGGAAGGGGGAGAGGACAGAAGAGCTGAAGAAAGAAAAGAGGAGCAGAGGCGTAAAGCCTTAGCAATATTAAATTGGGCACTCTATGTAAGCCAAGATAAACAGGAATGTTAGCACAGGCACAGACCTTCAGAACCAGAAATCACAGTGGTTTCAAACTAGCTGAGCTTTGGATGTCTCTGAAGACACACATGCACTGGAGAGTAGTCACCTAGAAGCAGGGCAGAAATCGGGATGGGAATGTGCTGGTTACAGCCTCGCCTGCCAGGAGGCACTCTCTTCTTCGCTTGTGTGCAGGGGAAGGGCCTGAATACACCTTGTTTCTTAGTTCAAGTGGAAGAAACTAAAGCTCACACTTGCCTTGCTGCTAAGAGGACAGCCCAAGTCACCAGGTAGTTAGCAGCAGAACTCCAAGTGCTGGATCTCCTGACTCACTGGCAAATGGGCTCTGGTTTATTGACATTAACCCTTCCACATCTGTCTAGACTCTGAGGTTAGGAAGATCACAATTAAATTCCCTTCTATCGCTTTTTCCCTTCAAGAGCAGTCTCCCATGCAATGGTATCTCTTTCATTATCATGTTTTAGAGCTACTTCGTCTTCCTTCTGTTTTAATAATATTCATCTCCTTTTATTCCCCAGGAAAAAACCAGCTACACCACTGAAAGCAGTAAGTTAGTTCTGCACTTAAAAATACTTCACATTTCCTGCAATATTTATCCTTAATCTTCTCATTTAAAGTTGACAATACTTCCAACTATGGTGAACACAGCAGCCTTAGCAACTAAAACTGCTCCCCAGACAGCTCAGAGGAACTACAGATCCTCAGGTAGCCCAGAGGGTACTACTTGGGATAAGCTGGTGCTTGCTGGATTCTGTTAGCTTCCCTGAGTGTATAACAGATCAGAAAGGCTGTGCAGGCTCCTCTCCTCCATCCCCGGGGTCTTCCCTGAATGAAGCCTCTGCCCACTTCCTGCCTTGCTGACCCTAGAGCAAATGGTAGGCCATTGTGTATCAGACAAAAAACCACAGAATAAACTGGGCTCCTGGCTAGAACTGGGTGAAATGGACCAGCCCATTAAGCGAGGCAGCCCCGCTGGACCCGAACCTACTCTAGAGCCTGACAGTGACCATCACTCAGCGAACACATAAAAGGTGGGACCATGAAACCAAAGCCAGATGCCAGGTGCCCAGTGCACAGGGCTACTGCCTGGCAGCTGCTGGGGGTCATGATGTCCATCAACACTGTTGACAGAGTAGTGATGTCCCCACACCAAGATGGCACTACACTGCTCCTCCCATGAGACATGTCTATCCTTCGTTCACTGATTGCAAAGGTTAGGCTAGAAACTGTGTTTTTGTTTCCTTGTTGTGATTTAAAGAAAGCTCTGCCAGCACATTTATTTTAATGCTATTGCTTTGGCTTTTATTTCTATGCTCTGCTATTTTAATCATCTCTGCCTTTTTCTTTTTAATATAGCCTCCAGTTGCCTCTCCACAGAATGCATCAAATGTTTGTGAAGGTAAATTTATTTATTTTGAAGGTCGAGCATGTCCTCTAAAAGTAATTTTTTAATTAAGGGTTTGTATATAAACGTAATTCTGAATTTCATTATTTATGACCCAATTGTAACTATGAAGCCGACTCTTCTAAACAAAGACTCTTTCATTTGGTCGCAGCAGCAGGGCTTGCTTAGGGCCTAGAGTTAGTGGGCAGAGCCTGTGGCAGAAGCTACAGCCCGACTGCTGTTAGAAACCTGCTGTTGCAGATGACTAGACCAGCCAGGAAACAATAAGGTAATGCTACTAATTTAGAGCCACTCATATCTCATAACTAACAGCTTAGAAAAGGCAATGAACTCTTAAAATTTGTTTAACAAGTTATTTTGCTGTCTTCAAAGGTCAAATGTCTGTCTTCTAAGTACATCTTCACATGACTTTGTTTGACCATAACTCAAAAACCTTACTTTTTAATAACTTCTCCATTAAAAAATTTCGTATTTGAAAAATGAGATTGGGGAAGGGAAAAGAGAAAGAATCATTCATGATATCAGCACTTAGAATATGGAGACATTCAAGTCCTGCATGCATCTAACACTGTGCACAAAGGCGCCATGTGCTCAGTCACAGTGAGTGTCCTTTCACTGTGTCCTGAGTCAGTGTCTGTGTAGAGCCAGCTGGTGTCCCTGATGAGTAACAGTGGCTAAACATGCACTAGCTCCTATCTCCGTTTTAATTTGATTAAATTTTATTTTTATTTAATTTCTAAATCTGTTTCTAGGCCCTCTCCTGCCATGCGTTCTCTGCCTTACCTTTGAAACTATTCTCTTCTTGAATGGCTTGCGCATGCCTTGCATGTCCTATGCTCTACCACGATGAGCAGGAGAGCAAGGGCAATACTTCAAGGTCTCAGCGATGTCCAAAACCAAGCTAGTGGAGGCTCCTAGCTGACCACCCCCCTTGTAATCCCTCTTTCCCAAAGGCTTCCAATAAGGGAGCTTGGCTTACTGCTTTCTTTGTACTATTTCAAGAGCAGAGGCCATGGGCATTTAACTCCAAAGAAAGGAAGCAGCCTCTTCTTGTCCTACAGGGAAGCCTCGGCACCGTGAAAGGTCAACAGGAAGGAAACAAAGAGCAGCTTTAGACAGTGCAGGCCTTTACTGGAGGTTTACTTGAAGCGGGGATGTCTGCAATCAGAGCCTGCTGTCTGTTTACAAGCTGGGGTAGTTTGAGGGCAGAAGAGGGCAGGGAAGGAGGTTGAAAAGTTTCCCTTTTTGGTTGGCTGTTGGCCATTCCTATGGATGGATAACCTGTGAGCAGTCAGTTAAGGAATGTTAGGTGATTGATAAACATCTCTCTTGGGCTGGCCATTACTGAGGGTCTTTAGGGCAGGGCAGTAGGGAATCTAGGGAAACAAGTTACTTTGTTAATCTCCAAGTATATGCCCATTGTATACCCTTCTTCAAGAAAACAGTGAAATGAAAGTTATATTCATATTATAGGGATAACCTTGAATTTGATCCAAGTTACTTTAGCCGTGGAAACCAAAATTACTGTCTTTTGGGGAATTGTCGCAGGTCATCCAAAGGAAAAGGTTTTACAGAATACTGTGGCCCTGGCTAACAGACCATAGAGGCAACATGGTGTGGTCAAATCTTAAGGCTACTAGAACTAATGTGGTCATTGGCTCTCCTTTGGAAATTACCAAATTTTAAAGAAACAAACACAAATTTAGCATGACTAGTAACCTGCCACATATTTGAAATATATTCAGAGGTTCAAGACTTTCTGAATTTAAGTGCACCGCAATTAACTCTGAACTTGGTCTTACCACTTATAGCATTTGAGTCTTTGAGTCCTTACTGTTTCTGTTCCTGTAGCTGTTTTACCTTTATTAATGGCTCAGAAGTAAAGTTTCCTATGGGCATCCACAGAAATTTGTTAAGCTCCAAGTATATGCCCATTGTGTACTCTTCTTCAAGAAAACAGTGAAATGCAAGTATTACATTATAGGGATAACCTTGATTTTGATCCAATTAATTTTTTCAAAAAAATAAATCATTCATAAATCCTCACATTTTTCCTCTCATCAGTAATACGTTACTTTGACTAATCAAGACACACCAGGGTACACTAACACCTGGAGAAGCAGAGGGTGAGTTAGGTCGAGGGCTGCCAAGCCCTGTTGTCTCCTGGCACCTACCTGTACTCAGACACTTAAAGGTCCGGCACACAGGTTCAGTCTCCATACACATTGCCAGGGGAGGGGCACAGAGATGCCAGTATGGCCTGTAACACTTCTAGGATGAGGGTCCTGGACCCAAGAGCACGAACACACTAGCAGAGTGGTAAGTGTACACACCGAGAATGCCTTAGAAGACATCTGGCCAAATTGGGTCCTATTTGACTGATGTGGCTGGATTTGAATGTGGAAAGAGACATTTCATTCCAATACTGATATGAGAATTCTCTTGATCCAGAAAAGCCTATTCCTGCTGAACGCCACCGTGGATCTAGTCACAGACAAGACACTGTGCAGTCACCTGTGTTTCCTCCTGCCCAGAAGTAAGAATCATTTACTTTTTTTTTATTTATTTATTTATTTATTTATTTATTTATTTATTTATTTATTTGGCTGGATTTGAATGTGGAAAGAGACATTTCATTCCAATACTGATATGAGAATTCTCTTGATCCAGAAAAGCCTATTCCTGCTGAACGCCACCGTGGATCTAGTCACAGACAAGACACTGTGCAGTCACCTGTGTTTCCTCCTGCCCAGAAGTAAGAATCATTTACTTTTTTTTTATTTATTTATTTATTTATTTATTTATTTATTTATTTATTTATTTAATA